ATGCTCACCATAAAAGGGGGGCTAGTTGGGTTGGGGAGGGGCGAAGCAGTTTTGGCGTGGTTCTGGGAGGGGCTGAGTGTCTGGTCAATCAGTCGGTCGTTGGTTCGGTAAATTGTTCTCTGTTATCACCCATTGTTACTATTTATCATCAGCACGGTTGTTGATAAACCTCGAGGCTTTTGCCGTTGTTTTTTTTCCGTTCTCCTCCCCGTCCCGCTGGGGAAGGAGTGAGTGAGCGGCCGCGTGGTGCTCAGCTGCTGGCTGGGCCTAAACCATGTCAAGTCTAGTAACACTTCTGTCTATATCTCTACACTGTTAGCAAAGCTTTATCATACTGTGGAAACTCTGGAAATTCTCCTACTCATTTCATAGTTTGGTACTTAAAGAACATACTTCAGGTGCAAGTCTCCAGATCTACAACTAGAATCTCTCCAATTAATCCTTTGCTTGGTCTGTCCCCTTTTTCATGTTTGCTATCCAGCAGTATATCTCACTATATCTCAAAAGAGAATTAGCTGTGAAAACAGGAAAGTCTGTAGGGCATCACAAATTGCTGAGAAGAGGAATGGCAGGGAGGAGCTGTTTGTACGGTTCATTCAACCTTACTCCTTACCCCAGAACTATTAAGAACTACCACTGCAATGATACTGAAAATCTGTATGATTATAGTGTAAGATCAAGGCATATTTTTCCAACTTCAATTATTTACTAAGACAAATATATGAACCTAGCCATAAAGAAATACAAATAAAATTATTTTAAAATAAAATCCAATCACTCATCCTAGACATTAAACTTCGTAGTGAAATTAAACATTTTTTACAAAAATACCTGACGGAGTTTATTTCTAGGCTCATTCTAATACAATTGCTCTTAGAAGATGTCAAGGTACATAGCTTTATATCACTATCAAATACAAGGTAAGGCATAAACATCACAGTTATGCTCCATATATATTTGTTGTTAGTATCAGTCCCTTAAACTTCCAGAACATAAAATGCAATCAATAAATAATCAAAAATCCTTACCGCTTTGTACCCCGTATCTGTTTTGCATGCTTTTCTCCCTGAAAACATTAGGATTCCTTGCCAGGATAGCCTGCAGCAAGACTGGTATATCTCCCTCTGGATCATCACTGCCAAGGTTATCTTTCAACTCTCTGGAATTGTGGAAGTAAGCAAATAAAGAGGCAAATGCATTTTCAAATTATAAGAAACTATGAGTCAAGTAAAAAAAAAATAAAATTAAAAAAACAAAAAACAAAAAACCAAAATGAAAGAAGACAATTTACTGTTAAAATATAGAAAAGAACACGTCTGCAAAGCACTGTTCCCTGCCTCTACTTTTTTTTCCCCTCTTTAATTAGTGGCAGAAGAGGTATTGCTATTAGTCTTCAAAATTCTCTTCTGTTACTAAGCACTTATATATACATGGCTGTCAGTTTCAGACTGTTATAAAAAGTTTCTTATGCCCACTTTTATATTGTGACCTTCTCCATAAAAGAATGCTTTGGTATAACATCAAGAAAATATTATTATAGGATTGAAAATAACATATGCATGAATGTAAAACATCCAGGTTGCAGCCCAGTACTTTGAGAATCTTTTTTTTTTTAAAAAGGGAAATTGGCATATCTTTGACATCATAGGATTCCCTCTTCAACATTAAAAAAAAGTAATGGATTTTCTACAAATGCATCTGTGCTTTCACTTATTATTTGCTTTGAGGACTTTGAAAAATTATTTCCATTTGATCAAAATAATTGATTGGAATACGTAGGAAAAAGAGAGGGTTGTCAACATAAGACAATTCAAAGGACACCAGGGGAAAACAAATTTAACAAAAAGAGAATACATTAACATACTTGCTGGTTCAATTCTTAAAATATTTAAGTTCAACACCTGATTAGAATCAACGTGAGTGTCTCAAACAAATTTCTTCTTGTGTAATATTGGGTATATAATTTGTCTATGTGCATTATTAAACAAAGTGGAACACAAATGCACAATCAACACCACAAAGTCTGCGCTCCTAAGTAGCAAGAATGGAATAAGCAGCAGATCTGTAAAATAACCCCCCACAGTCATGCATAAGGGATGACGGACAATTATTAACATTCTGACTGACTGAAACATTTGACTCTTCGACAGCAGCCACCTGCTAAGCAAACCTAATTAAAAACCTGCATGTTTCTAATTTTCTCACAAACACCCTTCTCAATCCACTTAATTTTGATTTCAAGGAATACGGATGGTGATCTGATATAGCTGAAGTTCAAAATACATACATGTGATCTGTTGACACCTGATTGAGACTGTGGACGAGCTGTGAAACCAGATTTTCATCCCTGCAAGCCAGAAGGCAGTTCACCTCTTCAGCTATCCGTCCATTGAAAAGCAGGCTTTTTGTTGTTGTAGCAGGTAAAGGTGATGGAAGAGGCAGCTGGTTCAAAACTGTTATCAGAAAACATAAAGGAGTTCAGAATCATTTCATGAAACATAAGTATACAAATATGGACACTTTTCTTACTCCCTCATGTGATTAAGAAAGAAAACTTGACAACTACATTTAAAATACAGGGAAGATTTCTGCATTTTTTTTTAACCATGAACACGTACACATACACACACACAAAGGCTTAAGTCTGTTTTAAACAAAGTAATGCAGTCAAGTCCACAAATTATATTACTATATTATTGTAAATATTTAATTGTGCTAAGGCAAGTATTATGAATAAAAATATACTTTTAAACGTTCCATAATAATAAGTTACTTAATATGTTACGGCAGCTTTCTCTTGGAGCTAAAAGCATTGATAAAGGAAGGAAACGCAAAATCCTTGTACTTGTGTGCAATACTGTAAGTGCATTGAGTATATACTTTAATGTTTCTACTCTGATCTTCCTATTTAAGTGTTCCCACTCTATACAGTCAGGGTAGATTAAAAAAAACCACAAACCCACCCACCCCCCACCAAAACCCCAACACACCAAAAAAACCAAACAATCCAACCAATTTAAGCCATTAATTAAATTCTCAGTTTATTCTTCTCTTGTTGAATTTATTTCTACGCAAGTAATCTTACATAGTTAATCAAGAAAAGGCTAGTATCATTGGTTGGTATGATCACTAAAATGTCAATTCAGTCAATATACCTATTCACAAATCTAGTAAAAAGATTTAATGAAAACACCCATGACAGTATTTCAATCAGATTATAAACAAGCACACTATACTTTCAGAGGGCAATCTTAGGTCTACAGACATAACAAGGCAGTGTACCATATAAGAAGCCTTGACCAGATGATTGGCAGAGCTACATATACAAGAAGAGAGTAAGCCAGAAGAGGCTAAAAAGCTAGCTACATAGAAAAGTCACTTTCATGGGTCCACAAAAACAAGCTGACTCTAGCTTCAAATTCTCAGGATGATTACAGCTCTGAGATAAAGGTTCTAGCTGAACCATTAGAAACAGCTTAAGAAAAAAACTTAAGTGAAATATACTCTTTTGGCTCTTTTATGTTTTGAAATTATTTATTCAAAAAAGGGGGAGAGGGGAGGAAATTTCAGTATGTTCCTCCCTATATAATTTATATCATTACTGTATTTAGAAATAAATTGCAATTCAAATAGAAGTGTATAATATACTAAAATAGCTAGCTTCCAATTACTTGCATCAGGTTACCTTGAATGTGCCAGAAACTTGGAAAAATCAGCAAGATCAGCAAAATGTAATTATTAAAACAGTATAAATTCAGCTAGTTAACTAGCCTACTTTACTGCCTCTGGTCATCCTGTCCTCCCTATTTTTAGGGCAACAGGTCTTGCCCATTCCAGTTCCTTCTTTTCACACAGAGAACAATAAGGTGAAGCAGTTCCAAACCCTGTTCCTTCAGCTGCTCCTGAGTTTCTAAACATCAGGTAAATACAAGAGATAAAGAAGCAAATGCACATAACTCAAGGGCTAATCCCACCAAAGATGGATGTCAAGAAACTCCCACACCAGGTGTCTGGCCAGTGACTTCTACCAGTTACATATTTTGACTTTCTTTGGAACCTTACCTGCAAATACTTAATGCTGGAAAACTGCCCATAGCCCAGAAACTTACCTGCATCCTGATGGTCTATTACTAGACGCACATAATGATACATATCTAAATACATAAGTAGCATCTTCCAATTTGATATTTCAGAATATCAGAAGGACATGAAGAAGTGGGTTTTTTTCTTCCAATACATCTACCTTTTTTTACCAATTAAATTCAGTTGCTGGGTATGTACTTCAGTGTCTCTCAAAGTCTCCAATTTTCAACAGTATAATAATAAAAAGAAAGAGCTCAGAAGAAGCACCTGGGTCACTGAGTCCAATTATCCTCAGACAGACAACTGAGCTATAAACTCTTTCTTCACTTCCTAAACAAGATGCATCTTTGTCCCAGCTGCTCTTATTGCAATGGTTGTTCTAGGACCTCATTATAGTAATAATAAATCTCCTCTTAGTTTGCACTAGAAATTTATTTCTTGTCACATTATAACCTTTTGCTTTTGTGCGAGTATCAGCTTTTAATGTAAACAGACTTTTCCTGATGTATTTAAAGACAGTACACAGACCTCATCTGCTCCTTTTGTAGGCTAAACAGCTAACAAAGAAGACTCTTAGGTTCAGCTGCTTATTTCCATTCCAGCAGCCGTTCTTTGCACCTATTAATTAGAGCAACTGTTTTGTACCTTGTCCAAAACCAAAGAACTAGGTTTCAAGTATGGTTCAGCATATTCCACAACTCTCTTTAATTAGTTGAGCAGTCTAATCCTCTCTCTGTGTCTCTCTTTTCAATGAAGTTAGTGAGATGCATGTTTTAGAGAAGTATTTCATCATTTATATGTTTATAAGTTTTCTTGGGGGGTACCCAGATACGCCACTGAATGATACTGCAAACAATGAATTCCTATATTTTGTTTCAGGTTTCCTTAAGAGTTTTTTTAATGTACATTTCATTTCATATTTAAATTAGTATGTTTTATTTGAATAGATTTTAAAAATTCAAGCAATGACAAAATAAACATTTTTAATGCCAAATCTGATTCTGAACAGATTTACGTTTTAACATAAATGTTTCAAACTTTAAAGATATGTTAAAGATACATTAGAGATATGTTAAATGGTTTTTTTGATATTTTGTAAATGCAGGTTATTTAATGAAGAGATAGAAAATAGCATAGCAAAGACAAGAAAATGAAGAGTACTTACGGTCTGTAAGACTAGCAATCCCTGCAAGAGTAGTGATGGGAACATGAGGCATATCCCCATTCATCCTGAAGTTCTGGGATAGTAGTGCCTACACAGGTATTTTAGTTCAGGTGCCAGCTATCATTACTTCCCATCTCCCAAGCACTAAAAAAAACAAACAAAAAAAAAAGGAAAAAAGAAAAAAAGAACAAAACCAAATGAAAATTCTCTTTTTTTTTTTTAGAATTTTAAATTCAGTAACAGAAATGAAACACAGACCTACCCTCAGCTGCATAGTAATTAAATTTTGTCAAGAGTGGGTAGAACAATGTAGATTTTAAATATCAAATGGTATTAAGCAATCAAAAGGCAAGCTTCTGGTCTCAGCAACAGAGCCCTTCACCAAAAAAGATGCAAGATAAGGCAATCAAAAGAAAATTTGCTCAGGTTATACAGTACCAACTCAAAAATTGGTAACACAACTCCTGTTAGTTCATACTGCAGTGGATAACATTTAATGCATAACCAGTTTAAGTAATTAGCTACTATATTCACTTCTTAGTTTTGCAGGAGGTATTTGTTCATGTAAGAGGTGGCTAGCAAAACCAGGAGTAATTTACAGATGAAAAAAATCAAGGGGTAAACAAAGCGACAAATACAAAATCTTCATATATTTTAAAAGTAGTAGCTATTTCAAACTTGATCTGAATCTCTTCAATATTAAACACTGTCTGGTCAAACTACTACCAGAAGCTGCATCACCGCCTCCACAAAAATAAAAGGTTTAGCCATCTAGCTCATTTATTTCCTGTAAAACAGCACAGTTTATGTTCAAGTACCGAAAAAAGGAACTCATTCACTCAGTTTTCACTAACCATAAAGATCCCAACTGTAATGAAGTCCACACTACTTAAAAAAAAACCCCAAACCACAACCCCCCCGCAAAAGTCCTCACAATAACTTAAACTGCAGCTCCAAAACAACAAAAATTTACAAAGATCACACATTACAATCCACTATTATACTAATGAAATGACAAAAGTTGAACATTATATTTTCTGAAGACAAAATAAAGGAGTTTGATGTATATATTTGATATACACCTATTAAAGACAGGCACCTGTGCTACCAGTTTGGAAAACAGTAAAAAGATTTCTTCTGTAAGCATTTATGTTATCCTCTGAAAATGCTGAAATCATCATTTGCTTATGCTTACTTTACAAGCCAACAGTTTTGAGAATTACATATATAATACATAAAAACCAAAAGATCACTGTCATTTTGGTTAGTAATTTTTATCTCATTCTTTCTTGTGCCACACCAATGACAAGATACAGGACACCACTGCTAATATACATAAAGATTCCAAGTAAGACAAGGAAACCAAAGGTTATAAATCTTTTTTCCTGCTCAAAGCCTTCATGAACCACTGAAATTAACTTTTCAAAGTTTCCCTATCTACACACAACTGAATTCTTTGAAAAAAATACCAACACTGAGGCTAAACAGAACTGACAATGAGTTGACTTCCTTTGCTGCACCTGCCACAGTCGCATTCTCACCACTAAAATACATGTTTATTAAAAACACAGTACGTTACAGGTATAGAAATCTAGTTAAGGAAGCTGCTACAGATAGCTATTCTGTGTGGGCTGTTGTGTTTGGGTTTTTTCAATCCAGGAGAAAACAGCCTTCAAACATCCAGAGCAGTTTCAGATACTACTGACACACTCAAGATTTTTTAACCAAAACAAATACCAATATACAAGGAACTTCAGTGGTTCCTTAGTTCCATAAATAAGCAATTCTTAAAAACAACTTAACTAAGACAGGACCTAACTTTTCCCACAATAAGTCTGCAACAGCAAACCCACAGGAACTAAAACATTTGGAATTTGTTTTCATTGAAAGGTTAGTAATTAAAGACTTAAAGAACACCTTTCACAAATAAATTATATGTACAATAAAAAGGTCATGATGATCTCTTCTCTCCTGACTGAAACTACATCAAAGCTGACCAAGGCCACATCACTAGTCAGTATTATTGGAAATCCTGTATGTAACACCAACAATGAAAAACACAAGAAAAAAAAATCTGTTCACCTTTCCTTCCTGATCATCTGAGAAACCTGTAAACATCAGAGGCTGTCACTACTAATTCAAGTTCTTTCCTGGTATTACTGCCACAATCATTAACTTATACAGATATTCAATGGGAAAAATTCCTCCAAAACCAGACACTTAAATTAGAAACCTTGTCCACAGATACCTAAGAAAACAGAACTGGCAAGATCCAGAGTGGAGCAAGTGCACTGAGCTAGGTCAGTCAGGGGAAGAGTAAATTTTCTTTTTAAGAGGGGAGTGGAAGGGCTTGGTTTGTTTAGCTAACAAAACAAAGGTCAAGAGGGGATGTGGTTGCTCTCTCTAAAGCAGTCAAGGAAGATTACAAAGGAAGAATGCTACAGGGCAATGCTAACACAACAATAAATGGGGGCATGGATGCAAGCAAGAAGAAAACTACAACAGAGCTTCTCACCATCAAAGCTGTCACTTTCTGCAACAGCCTTCCATTAGGAGTAGCAGAGATATGCAACAAGATGGATCATACAGATGTTACAGAAGGGACAGGATGTGGTTGCCTGCACCAGCTGGGAACTAAGCACAATTCGAGAAGTTTGTCTCTTAAACTATGAAGTTTTTGTAAGTATGATGATGTGACTAAACAGGTGAGAGTAAACTAAAGACAAAGAGAGACTGATGGGATTAAACAATGGGATTAGTTTATACAACACACACAATATGAAGAAACCACATAGGAATATCTGCATCCAAATATTACATCTGTTGGGTTATGAGCAAAATTGCATCTGTTATACAACTGGTAAACAAGGTGGGATTCCATTCCAGAACTAGAAACTGAGATCCAGTGAAACTAAAACTCAAATTTGATGTCACCGACAACATTCGTAAACTCACTCATTTAAGGGATTTAAAATATCAAGCACGTTGAGGGGGAAAAACTGACACCTCAAGATGAGATACGTTCATTCACACAAAACATCAGAACAGCATGCAACAATTAACGGCTTGACTGACAGACAAGTTTTGTTGTGGTTTTGTTTTTTTGGTTGTGGTTTTTTTTCCCCATTGTAAAGGCTCACAATTGGTCAAGAAGAATTAGTATTTTTTAATAATTAGAAAATTTTACATTATCAGCTTTGTAAGGTAGCTATTACCAGTAGTACAGCATTTCTACCTCTAGACTGAAAAAAAGAAACTGTTAGTTATATTAGCTGAATTAAGGAAATCAAAGAACTGCTGCATTGGAAAGCTTTTAAACAATGCATCAGAGTCTATTGTAGCAGTTCAAACAGAGAAGTATAAATCCAATTTATGTATATGCAAATGAGGTCTTGCATATTCAGTATGTATGTATTCAGGCTCTTGCTTCTTTATAAGAAACAACTGATATTGCAAAAATGTTTCAGGGAGGAAGAAGCAACAGTGCATAAAGGAAGTGATACAAAGAACCCTTCAGTGAAAGGAAAACAGTGAAATGGCAGCATATATTGAGAATAATATACAAAAAAACTATCATCATAATACACAATAATAGAGTGAAGCCAAGATAGCAAAGAAAGCAATATTTTAAAAGCTTATATTATGGATAATAAGTACACAGTTAAAGTGCTACTTCTGTATTTTACCTTCTTCCCTTTTTTTGTCAATTATGCATATTATCCTTTACTGCAAATTAATATTCCAAAGAAAATTCCTATTAAAATGTTAAATTTAAAATTTTGTGGGTTGTTTTTTGGTGGTTTTGGGTTTTTATAAAAGTAGAAGGTAAATATGCGGTTGGTAAAACAGTCCATAACACGCACATGGAAAATACTGACTGCTTTTAGTGGCATAAGATTTGTGCTGTATCATCTGGATCCTCTCTACAACTCATCTCTACATAGTCTGCATTTCACACCATAGTACTGGATTAATGGCAGAGTGGAAAACTAACAGAAACACACAAAAATCTCTTTAGAGAGAATGGATAGGCATGGGTAAAATTAAGGGAGGAAAAGAGGATGAAAGCAAGTTGCGAATTATTTCGGTAAAGAGACAGTGATCATCCAGTGAAGAGAGACTACAAACAGCAAAGCAAAAAAACCCACCCCAGCACAAGCAACCAACCAAACAAAAAATTACCCCACAAAAAATCAGAAAAAAGAAACAAAGTGCAATTATATTTTTTCAGATATTTCAGCATCTGACTAGCAATGAAACAACGAAAGGACTCTGACCACTGGTTATCAAAGGTTCAAGCTGTGCATTTATGAAACGTTCCTCTTGGTTGAAAAACATTCTTGCCTCCTTAACAGAAATACCAGTTCTTCCACAGTTCAGCTATGTGCATGCAAGAGAACGGTGGAAAACAAAATAAAGGGAAAAATCTGTTTACGTGCAGCAATGCACAGGCTCAGTAGTAAAGCAAAGACAAGTAACAAACCTCAGGATTCAGAAGTTTCCTGTGTACATGTAGATGTTTCATTCCCCATACTCCAGGGTATTCTTTAACTTATTACATCTTTGGATTTAAAAACTAACTTATATATGACTGACCTAATATATCCCTGATAAGAAGATTAGACACACAATTAGGTGGATTAAAATTCAATTTTAAAGAAGGGCTGTGGTATTAGGTGTCTATATTTTACTTTTTAAAAAATATTCTATTAAATAGAATATTTTAAATACAGTTAAGTTTTATTCAGTTCAGATTATGAAATCTGTACTTAGAATGAAAATACTTTAAAAAGTGGTTTTCATTTCTTATATGATGAGTAGCATTGTATTGATGTAACTACAGCACCATGACTAAAGTTGATTTTCGCAGCTGCACACTCAAAGCAAACCAGTACAACTCAAGTATTAGCTATTTTATAATTTAGGTAAGCACTGAACTTCTTCTTTTCTTTTAAATCAGCAAACACGCTATTAGAATTTTAAGAAGCCTTGCCTATTAGCCAGTTTTAAACTTGCACATTTTCCAATATACTACTTTTCTTGTTAGTTACTACATGATTCTCTGCTAGTTATCAGTCCATAAACTGTCCTTTAAAAAAAAAAAAAAATCATGCAAGAATGAGGGAGAGAGACAGAAGGAGAATGAATATCC